GTATAAAGGGCAGTTCTGCTAATAATAACAGAAGTGAACATAATCTTCACAGTTTTTGACAAAGTTACTTTGGGCAGGATAGGATTAATATGCTTTTTTGTATACATGTTATTTAGCAGGCCATAGTAAGCCAGAAATATCTGAGTTTGCAGCTCTGCCTTCATAATGCTAACATAACAGTACTGTAATCTCATTTGCTGATACACCTGCTGTGCTGTTTTACAAAATACAGTCCATTTGGAGTGGAAGGTGTACTTCACTTCTATTTTGTAATCTTTGTATTAATGGGACGGATATTTTCTGCTTGAACATGGATAATGAAGAAAAAGAATAATTTTGTTACATCCATTATATCCAAATTTTAGGGGTCCTATCCATTTTCTAAAATCAGTATATTGAAAAGAATTGCTGTTGTGTACAAGAATTTTCACGGTGTTTTTTTTGTTTTTGTTTTGAATTGTTGTAAAGATTTGGCTAGTTACTAATGAGGTTTAGAGCAGTGGTTCTTAACCCTTGTTACTCAGGTGTTTTTGAACTGCAGCTCCCAGAAACCTCAGCCAGCAGAGCTGATGGTGAAGGCTTCTGGGAGTTGCAGTCCAAAAACATCTGAGTAACAAAGGTTAAGAACCAGTGGTTTAGAGCACCTTGAATTACAGAGGTGGGGGGTTGATAGTATTGATCTGTTCTATAATCTGTGTTAACATAATCATAAATCAGTGCATCTACTCATATCTTCTTGGTGAGATGCATTAAAGACAGGTAACACAGTGTCTTACTGCGATCTGTTCTATAATCTGTGTTAACATAATAATAAATCAGTGCATCTACTCATTCATATCTTCTTGGTGATATGCATTAGAGACAGGTAACACAGTGTCTTATTGTGAGAAACTTGGAACAGATGTTTTTCTAGAAGTGACTAGTCTGTGTGATCTAATTTCCATTGCTTTCTTTTGTGTATGTCATCAGGCTTTTATGGGCTTTAAATTGTGGACAGAGTTAACTGGAGAAGACATTTGGAAAGGATACAGTGAACTTTTAGTTCAAATCCCTACTCAGTCAGAAAGACTGCTTTGTCTTAATAAATGCTATGCATATGGCACTGTCTGTATCCCCTTCTCCACTTGTACGTTTTGGACTCTTGGTTAAACTGTAGGGATTGTGAACACTGCCAGTGGCATCCGAGTTTCTGCTTAGGCTAGTGTAGTAGCATTGTTGACTGTCCACACCACCCCATGAAATGCACCCCTAATGCTTTTGTGGACCTCGTTTCCGTTTCAGAGGTAGTTGTCCATGCAACTGGGGCGAGGTGGGATTTAAGGCTCTTTGGAAGAAAAGCAAATAAGCTTGAAATATATTCGTACTACTATACAGCCTTTTCCAGTAATATAGTAGAATGCATAAAATTATACTGATGAAAGGGGAGCAGGCATATACCCATTTCATCATTGGGTAAGAAGAAATATACAGTAGAGAGTGGCACCTGGATGGGCACTCACTCTGCAGAGGCCCCAATCCCATGGTCTCTTGTGCTGAGTGCTTTACTTTTTAGCTATCTCTACTTGTGCATCCATGTATCATTAAGATTTTTGGAATTTATTTTAGAACCATATCTAGAAGAGATTAGCCAGAAAATGTGGAGGCTGGGATTCAGCAATATGTCAATAGGATGCCCAGAGTTTGGGACACATCTTCAATTTTCTTTTGCTGAGGAGACCTCCTACCCCTAAAATCAGAAACTAAAGAGGGGCCAAAGGAGGTGCTGTTTGAGAAACATAAGCCCCCAATCTCTCTTCTATATTGTGTACCAGTAGCAGGGTTAGTTGAAATATGGGCAGAAGCTAGAGTAGTGGGACAAGATGAGAGCTTAAGTGTACATATAAAAATAGAGTTTAAAAATTAATCAGTATTGATTTATATTTGCAACTGAGAAATTTTGATAAACAAAAGGACTCCCAGTGATTTAAAATGTTTGAAATCTTCGTTTTCCATGCCATGATGAAGTTTAATTACACTTCAGCTACTGTGTCATGCTACATTAATATTCTACGAATATCATCGTGGAAAAAAATTAATTACATTTAATCATTTTTACATTTCACTTTCTCAGTTATGCTGTACTTGACATTAGTGGATGCAGATGCTTAGTCAGGAGGGCAACAGATTTATTGCTGTAAGGCTGCTTTTTCTAATTCACTTAAAACCAGTTTAAAAGGGTCTCATTTAAATGAGATAGCTAAGCACATGCTACCTCTGCCCTGTGATTATGTTCCTGAGTTTATACGGAGCCGTTAAAGCTCATTATTATTGAGTGCTTCTCACTTTGTTGCCTTGGTTCAAAGCAAGTTTTAATCAGAGTCCCATTTCCTTTCTTCCATCCAACCACTTTCACTGCCAGAGTCTGGTTGACCTTTCCTATCTGTCCATTTGGAACAGGCCATAATTCCTTCTTGCTGGGTTTCAAGCCTTCTCCTTCTACTGCATGAATATCCTTCTTTTAAACTGCTGGTTTTTTGTGCTGCTACAGGGAGGAAGGGAGGCATAAGGAACCAGTAGTCTTTAGAAGTAATGTTTGGAAGATAGCTGTTGAACAAGAACAACGGGATTTATCTGGGATGAGCTTTTGTGGACCACACCCAGTTAGGATGCACTTTCGTGTTTCCTTCTTAACCATGATAGTTGCTCAGACATGTATTTGTCAATTTACTGTGTATATCTGCTATGCTTTATATACAGTGGTGCCTTGCATTACGACGTTAATTCGTTCCAGCAAAATCGCTGTAGAATGAAAATGTCATAATGCGAAAAGAAAAAGCCCATTGAAACGCAATAAAACCTGTTTAATGTGTTCCAAAGGGCTGTAAACTCACTGTCCAACGAAGATCCCCCATAGGGCAGCCATTTTTACTGCCTATGCAGCGAGGAATCCATCCCAAAAAACAGTGGGGGCCATTTTGTTTACCAAGCGGCCATTTTGAAACCTCCAATCAGCTGTTGGAAAATCATCATTTTGCGAAGAATCGGTTCCCGAAGCAGAGAACCGATCATCGCAAAGTGAAATTCCCCCATAGGAAACATCATTGTTCATCGTAATGCGGTTTCGTTAAACGGGGCAATCGTAAAGCGAGGCACCACTGTAGATATGTTTGTGTATGTTTACATGCAATAGACTCCATCACTGGGATAGAGAACTAGAATAATATTAGCTAGTACCCTGTCAACTCAAAGCTCCTTTGCTTGATGGGCTCCTGACTAATAACTGAACCTACATGTAACCAAATCGCTAGTAGAGAAGCTGTATTATTACAAAATTGTTGAGGAAAGCTGAGAAACAACACAACAGTACTACAATATCAAATTATTATAAACAGATCTTAGCTTTGTGTAGCATTTACATGGCAGGAGGTATTGGGCTTATTTTCAGAAGTCTGAAATAGGAGTTAGCCCTAAACCACATGAACTCTGATGAAACTACAGTTTATCATTTCAAACTGCAAGTAGGGAATTGCATGAATTGCATATTTTGAATAAAATAAACCCTCCATGCTTATTGAAAACTGCCTCTTCCAGTTTACGCTATTACAGGATACTTTTCCCAATTAAAGTATTCAATATTTGACTAACTAACTACTTAAAGGAATCAATAATGGATAAATAGGTTTGAATATAAAGGATTAAATTTGAGTAACTCCAAAAGGAAGGACTACAAATACAGCAATCTGATGCAGGAGTATGAAATACCAATTATGAAGTATTCGACACTGGGAAATAGGAGTGCTATTCTCAACTTCACTTGCATAACTAGAAGTGGCATATTATTAAGCAGATTAATAAATAACAATATACTTCACGGTGGGTAAAAACCTCCTACAACTACTAGAATGGGGTACTGTATATTGGAAATGCTGTACAAACAGGGTGGCACTACATTTTTACATTGTATGTGTGCATGCGCGTGTGTATTCCAAAAGTCCGAGTAGAATTTCTGCAGTTATATTACTTCTGTTTACATTCTTATAAAATAAGACACATAATACTTAATGTAAGGATACATTTTTAGCAAAACATAATTGCTTGTTTACAGAAAACGATGCATCTTTTTCCCCCCTGCAATTTTCAACTAAAGACAGTACAGTTAAGATGTGAAGCAAAACCTTTGAAGCCATATCAGCCCCTAAGAACTTACTAGAGTACCTCATTTCTTGAATGGCTTACATTATACAAGAGAACAAATTAGATAGCACTAGGCTTCCTGTAACTGAATCAATAGTGCACCAATTTATGTTTGATGGATTGTACAAACAGCACAAGATTTGAAATTGGAAAAAAAACCCCTCAGAAATATAGTATTTTTAAAATCACAAATATTCCAGTTATGCTTAACAACATCTGTTCTGAAGCCTACTTAGTACAAGTTTACTTAATTAATTATTTCTTGTAGAGGCCTATATTTGACCATGTTTTCCAATAGTGTGAAGTAAAATATGTATCTTAACTTCAGCTGAGTATATACTCTGTCTACAGGGAAGTAATCTTTATGCCCTAATAATATTATGTGTCACACATCTCTAACATTTTACTGGAAATTGCTCACTTTGTCTTCCTATTTGTTACTATCACTTTAAGGCTCAAAAAACACTTCTTTTAAAAAAATTAATAAAATCCTTGGCATATTGATATCTGTGCTTTCTCACTGAATTCTACATAGGAGAAGTTCAGCATACACAACAGCAACCATATTGATATCTGTGCTTTCTCACTGAATTCTACATAGAAGTTCAGCGTACACAACAGCAACTTAATATCATTTCTCTTTCCTCTAGTATTTGAAATATTCTATAAATTGGATTTTATAGTACAATAAACATTAATTTCCTTGCCTTTGTGTGTGTTCGTGCTGAAATACCAATTTAAAACAGTGACTTGCATTCCATTGTCCACTAGAGAATAAAATCACTTATACCGTTTTAAAAGTAGAAAGATGAGAATTATTAACCTACCTATAGATTATACATGCACTGTTCCTGCAAGTGTCACAGTTAGATGTGTCTTGACCAGTCCGATATGAAAGCCTGCAAAGATAAGTACATGTGATTAAAAGTATTTGCTTTTCTTTGGTTTGCTTTCATTTTCCAGAATAACCAACATTTTATTTCCCTATTTACTGTGGATCAGTTTTACCATGTGCTCTTTGAAGAGGAAGACATTTGTGAACGTTGACATCCAAAGACAAACAAACACAAGGTCCAATATGGTAAATATTTAGATGACTGCACTTGTCACCCACTCTTTTTACTTTGTTGCTTCCAAAGGATGTGCAATGTTTATCACATCAGATCAGCATTCTAATTGCCATGAGGAACAGCAACCGTTTTACTAGCAGGGTTGGCGATGTATTAGCCACCTACTCATTTGTCTTGGTATCAGGAAAAGATACTGCAAAGATAGAAGGTCTAGGCAGGTTTCCTATATTCCCACTGAACTCACCCTCATGTTTCTTTTAATCTCCCTCTCTTTGCAATGGACATTTACACTTGGACCATGGGAGAGGCACTAGTTACTTGTATAACTGAGGAAATATTAATACTTAAGCCAATCTAGTAGTTTGAAAGCATGTAAAAAATGCGAATAGATAAGTAGGTACCAACACGGTGGGAAGGTAATGGTGTTCCGTGTCTATTCGCGCTGGCCACGTGACCATGGAAATTGGCTACGAACAAATGCTGGCTCTACGGTTTTGAAACAGGGATGAGCACCACCCCCTAGAGTTGGACACAACTGGATGAAATCTCAAGTGAGACCTTTACCTTTACCTCAGTATTAATGCAGTGCAAGGAGATATTCTGTGTCAGTGAACAAAATATTTTTGGGCCCTATTTTGGGAGAAATTATCTTTAAAAGTAGTCTGATTGCTCAAATATAACAATTTTGTAAATCCAGTTTTTATAAGTCTGTTCTGCCTTCCTAATTGGTCTTTCATTTTATTCTGAAATGAATGGGAAAAGTACTTGAATATCAACAACCAGAAGAATCAACAGTTTATCATATAAATTGAAATGGAACATATTACAGTTCAAGTAACGGTTCATATTATCTTCTTTTGACCTTGGTTCTAACCTTTTTTTGTTTTTGTCTATTTTATTATAATTTTAGATAAATAATGACATGTTTGGCAAAAGCGCAACTTCATATAAACACCTCTTAATAACCAGTCCATCTAGAAACACCTCTCTAAATGCTAATTTTGTATTGAAGATGATACAGATCAGATACCAGCTCAATGGGAACTAATGACAATATGAAAGCAGTCCCCCCGCGGTGGAGGAGTGAGGATATTTTAGGTACATATTGGGACAGGAAATGGCTGGAGAAGGGAATGCTGACTCTGAGTTGTGGCAAGATTTGATGACAACATCTCCGTAAATAAATATCATCCTCAATTCATTGTTTTAAACATCTGAAAACCCACTTTATCCTTTCTGTAATAATCTAGGATTGCTGGTCAATGTATCATTTGTAGGTTTGCCAATTCAAACTTCATGTCTGCCTGTAATCACTTGTGCAGTATGTATGAGCATGGTTGTGTGTGTGGGGGCACACAGAACTGTTAGGTGCTGAAGAAACATGCTGCTGATTGTTACAAATGCTAGAGATATACATGCTGTGTTTACACAACCAAAGAATATCAGTGTTGTTCAATTTGCAACCTATCCATTTACCTAGAAACAATCTAATTTAATTAAGCAGGGCTTTATTTAGGGTTAAACAACAAACCTGGAAGAATGTATTGTTTATCATGTGATGTGATGTCAGAACCACTATGGTCCAGAACAATACTAAAGAAAGGCTTAATATTCTTCATCCTTATTTGTATTACATTTTATCTCTTATTTGTATTGTGGAGAAGATTAGAACTAGGATTACCTCACATGAAGATCATTATTTAAATAATTAGAAAATGGTTTTATAGACTTGGGGTGTTCGACTTTTTCCCTCCTTGAACAGCAGTTGAACCATGCAACATTATTATTTCTACAGTTCCAGAAGCATGTGGATATGGCATAGGATGACAAATGAAAGCTTTCTCCTTCAAGAAGCTTGATGTCTGAAGGTTGACACAGGGGGAGACAGCAGAGGAAGAGAAGGGGAAGAAGTGATAAATAAAGAAGCAGTATGTGCTTGCTTTTGTTGTATGTGGTAAAGCAATCTGTTTTTGAAAGTGAGGAGTAATGTGATACAGTGTGGGATGTATTCTTTATTTATTTATTTGTTATATTTATATCCCACCCATCTAGTCATTTGACTACTCTGGGCAGCGTACATCAGACAAAATAAACAATTAAAATAACATCAGTATACAAGAATAATCATTCAAGATGGAAAAAGACAAAGAAGATAGATCAAATAGTGACCGGAGGGAAAGCCTACCTGAATAGCCAGGTTTTTAATTGTTTTTTAAAAATACCCAGCGAAGGGGCCATACGGATCTCTGAAGGCAGGATATTCCATAACCGAGGAGCCACTGCCGAGAAGACCCGGTTTCTTGTTTTTTTTCCTTCCAGGCCTTTCTCGGTGCTAGGCTCCTCAGTTGCACCTCCTGACTCGATCAGGTGATAAAGGTTAGATTTTGGTGGGAGAAGGCGTTCCGTCAGATAGCGAGGTCCTAAACCGTTTAGGGCTTTATATGTAATCATTAAAACTTCAAAATTGGCACGGAAGCGCATGGGCAGCCAGTGCACTGTGGCCAGAGTGGGAGAAATATGATGGTGTTTTCTCACCCCACTAAGACGTCTGGCCGCCACATTCTGCCCCATTTGAAGTTTCTGCATCAATCTCAAAGGTAGCCCCACGTAGAGCGCATTACAGTGGTCTAATCTCGAGATTACAAGTGCATGCACTAAAGTGATGAGCGCTCCAGCATCAATATAGGGACGTAGCTGGGCAATCCATCAAAGAAATAGGCAGAGCAGACCACTGATGCCACCTGGGTTTCCAGATGCATTCCCAAGCTACGAACCTCACTCTTCGCGGTGAAAGTTGCCCCCCCCAAATGAGAGGGAGCTTCCCAAACCACTGATGATGGGGCCATCCACCCTCAGTACCTCTATCTTGTCCGGGTTGAGCCTCAACCCATTCTCGTGCATACATTGCAGAACAGTCTCCAAGCAGCGCTGAAGGGACAGAATGGCATCCACTGTAGTTGGAGAGAAGGAGATGTAGAGCAGTGTGTCATCAGCATACTGATGGCACAATGCCTCACATCTCCTGATGACCCCTCCCAGCTGCCTCATATAGATGTTAAACAGCATTGGGGAGATGATAGAGCTCTGCAGGACCCCAAAATTGAGATTCCACAGGGCCAAAATTCTCTCCCCAAGCTGTACTCTCTGAGGACCATCCTCCAAGGAGGATTGGTGCCAAGCAAATGCCAGGCCACCAATTCCCAACTCGGAGAGCCTCCTCAGGAAGATACCGTGGTCGACGGTATCAAAGGTAGCTGAGATATCGAGGAGGACCAACAGGGACATTTTTCCCTGTCAGCTTCCCTCAATAGGTCATCAAACAGGGCCACCAGTGCCGTTTCTGTACCACTGCACGGCCTGAAACCCGACTGGAATGGATCCAGGGCATTTGTTTCATCCAAGTGAAACTGAAGCTGGTCGGCCACCACTCTCTCCACCACTTTGCTAATGAAAGAAACATTGGCGACAGGCCTGTAATTGCCAATATCGTCCACCTCCAAATTTAGTTTCTTTCTTACGGGCCTAATGAGTGTCTCCTTGAGGGCAAGGGGAACCCTGCCCTCAAGGAAAGATCCATTAATTATTGTTGTTGCTTTTTACCAAGTCAGACAGTTGCTTTATATATTTCAGTGTTTCCTGCACTTGAGGACTTCAGAAAGGGCTGTTTCCCAGCCCTACCTGCAGATGTTGGTGATTCTGCGTGAGCATCCTGTGTTGCACTGCTATGTTCAATACAATGAATGAAGGTCAGAACCCAGATCTTCCCAACCAGATCAGGTTGGCCACTGTAGGAAAGAAGATGCTGTTCTACAGAGGCCTTTAGTCTGATCCAGCAGAGATTTTCTTACCTTCTATTAGTTGCAGTAAAGTGGCTAGAGCAACTTAATACAGTGTATTGGTCAAGTAGAAAAGGACACATGTTTGTCCTTGACAGTACAGCACAGTGTATTTGCTAATTCTGACTACAGTCATTTCTGTCACATTCAGGAGAGACAGAGAACCTTGGAATATCTGGACATGCTTGGACTACAAGTACTATAATGTTTTGTCAAATGCCATAAGACTTTCTACAGCACATATTACGGTGGTGCCTCGACTTACTACCAGAATCTGTTGCTGAAGATAGACATAACTTGAAATGGTCGTAAATCGAAGCACCATTTCCCATAGGTATGCATTGAAATGCAATTAATCCGTTCCAGCTGAAAGAAAAAAATCACAAAAAATCACTGCAAGACTCATTGGAAATGCGATTAATCCCTTCCGGCTGAAGGGGGGGAGAAAAGCAATCAAGTGTGCATGACCCATTGGAAATGCACAGAAAACAAATGGAGCAGATCGGAAATGCACAAAGAACAAAGGGGGCAGGTCGGAAATGCAAAGAAAACAAAGGAAAAAGCAAGGGAAGCATGCAGGACCCATCGGAAATGGGGGGAAAAACCCAAAAAGCAACCAAACCCCCAAGACCATTCAGAAATGGGGGTGAAAAAGCCAACCAAAAAACTCCCGCACAACCATCAGAAATGGGGAAAAAACCTCAAAAGCAATGAAACCCCCAAGACCCATCGGAAATGGGGGGAAAAATCAACCAACAAACAACCCCCCCAGACCCATCAGAAATGGGAAAAAGCACTCCAAAAAGCAACAAAACTCCTCAAGCCCCATTGGAATTGGGGGAGAGGAAACAAACAAACCCCCAAGACCCAGTACAGCACAGAAACATAAACCCCCAGCTCAAAACCACACTGCAAAAACACCCAGAACGGTTTTTAAAAAGCAGAAAACAGCACCTTAAAAGGCAGCCCAAAGCCTCCCTGCAAACACGCACA